GTCAAAATGTGACTTAATATGCGAGGTCATATAAATTATCGTTACCTGTGCTGCATAACTATACAGTTACACTTTTTTTACTACATCGCTCTGGCCTTCTGCTGCCTCTCCCTTGCGCCTCGTGCCACCCACTTTCCATGCGCCAGCTCGTATGTGTATCGCACAACCCGCCCAGCGCCCATCTATCACCGCCCGCCTCTGTCCAAAATTCGTTTGGCCTATGGGTTAGCTAGACACACATGCACACAGCCGACGTCTGGGGTCAGTTAGACGTATGTCAAACGCTGTTTAGATTAGTTGGAGCGAGACTTGGCGGCGTTCTGATCAGCGTGGGCTGTGACTCATCAGAAACTGGCGTGAACCTAACTTAATCTTAATTGAATATGCAACCGGGAACCGGCTCTCCAGCGTTTCAGCATATATACATACATAGAGACATACGTACATATGCTTGTATGTTATAAATGCGGAAAAGCAAACAGCTGCGTTGGACGCGTCATCAAATTGTTGTTGCTGTTGCTTGTTTGTTTGTTTGTTTGAGCTTTCCGCTGAAAGCGAAAAGTTCAGTAGCCCAATATGCTCAATTCCAAGTCGTTGGGGCATACGACTTGAGGCTTGGGGCTTGGGGCATTGGGGGTTTGGCGATTTCAATGGCAATGCTATAAACATTGAATGATCCATGGCAAAGGCATTGCTCTCGATATATAATTGAAATATTAATGCGTAAATAATTTGCATATATATTTAACTGGCATTTAAGCACAAATATATATATATATATATTTATAGATTAATATTATATTATACATTATTGTTGTCGTCTGGCTGTGTCTGTGAAATTTCACAACAGTTTCTATACACTTTTGCCAAAATGTGCCTGTCACGCGCACGAGCTGCGCGAAAGGCTGGGCCAGCGGTGTCGGCTGCGAGGTGGCAACGATACGAGAAGACATCTGTGGCCATTAAATGACGCAGAAGATTCACAAAGAAAGAAATGTTTGTCTGTCTGCGTCTTTGTCGAAATCAGGAAGCAGTGATATTCTTGTGCTTCGTAGGAGAGCAAAAAAGCAAACGTGGCTGACTCTCTTGAGTTGCAGATAGAAGCAGCGACACAGACAACAGAATTCTAGCTGCCCAATGACAAAAACAACAAACGAAAAGAATAAATAAATAAATAAAATAAAATGCCGCACGGCATTCACAAGGTCTCTTGATTGAGTGCTCCCCCAGCGGCTTTTGTTTTCTGTTGACTTTTTATACCCTGCACACACTCTGCTAATCGGGCTAGAATGCTTTAATGGCAATGGATGTAACATTTAAATTAAAGTATCTGAAACATCATGAGAATGAGCGAATATAGTTAACAATGCATCGATTTCGATTCGATCGATTTCTATATTTAAATTAAGTTTTTTAAGCATAACACGAAAAGCAGAAATAAAATAAAAAATACTAAAGAAAAATTTTAGTTATTTAAATATTCTAAATTTGAAAAAGTAGAGTCTATAAATAGAGAGAATTAACATTGAACAAGAACATTGAACAAGAAGAAGTGCATGCAGGGTATTTTCTAGTCGGTCACAGCCGATTAGACCGCTCCTATGTCTTCTGTATGTTAATATCTTCATGCCCTTGCAGAGAGTATATTAATTATTTCACGAAATTTGTAATTCATGGATTTTGGAATTAAGTTTGATAAATAATCTGGATAAAATATTTAAATATCTATGTTAGTATACCCTGCATCAAGAAAGCCTTATCAATCAATATCAATCTCAAGTATTGCTAAGGTTATCTTTGTTATTTTATCGAAATTTTTGGGCTTAAGCGTCATAAATTGGGATTATCTACGTAACATAAATTATATTTATCAGTGAAAATTTTATTTGTCGTTCGTTTTACTTATCTATTTGCCTGCAAGTGTATTTTATCTACGAATACCAAAGATATCAGCCTTTCTATTTTTTCTGATTTGTTTTTTGGTTTTTTTCTTGTATATTTTTGTTTTTATTTCTGGCTCTAGGCTGTTGTCAGAGACGTCGTTTTTTTTCTTTTTGGGGGTTTTTCGTTTGACAAATGCTCTAATTGAGATTGATAAGTCAAGTCGCCTGGTTCTGTAAATTACACTACAATGCGTAACAACTAGCGACCGTTTCAAGGCCTTGTCTAATTATTCTATTTCCTATCGCATAAGTTGTTTACTCGTGTTTGACTTTTTTCAATTGAGGAAATAAACAAATGTTTGATACGCAAAAATTGAAAAAAGAAATATCGAACACAACTGTGGGAATGTTCGCTTGAGAATAAACTACTCTCAATCTATTAAAAAGGCAGAACAGCAGAACAGAAGTGGGCATGGCTGAGTCCCTAAATTATATATATTCCAGATCTAGTTTCAGACTAAGTTTATCTGGAAAGCTATAGACTTGAAATTTAAGAAATATATATATTTATATATGTAACTACATTTTCTAAATATTTATTAAAATCTATATTTTCAAAATTCTACACAATTAAATTAAAAAACTAGCTGTCTTCAGTTTATATAAATATGTCATATTATTTTTTTATTTATATATTTTATTTGTCATATTTATGAACTGAAATCCAAAAGCATTTTAAGATCTGCTAATGAAATTATTCAACAACTTAAATTATCTTATAGTTGTTAGCTGCAGAATCTGTATCTGTCTGTGTATATCCGTGTATTTATACGTATACAAATGGTCAGGGTATCAGCGAGGCTGGCACACCCGATATTTGATATGCATCTTAAAATCGTGCATCAGATGCTGTTGCACTGAAAGATTGAGTTAAAAAAGGAAAAACTACTAGCAAACTAGATGCCCAGAGAAATCATGTCGGCCCCGCTATGTGCTAACGTGTAAATTTGTATATTATTTCCCTATCAATATTTAATTATCATTGAAATTAAACGCGAACTGCTAAGGCGACAGCTCAACTGGTTCAATCGTTGGCGACAATCGACCGATCAGAACTGTCTGTCGTCGGGCTGTCTCTGCTTAAGCTTTCGATGTTTCAAAATGTTTTGGATTAACTCAAATAGATAATTTATAATATATGAAATAAATAATATACTAATCTATAAAGACTGTTATTTATTTTTTTTCTATATTTATAAAAAATAATACTGAGTTTAACTTGCGATATCTAAGGCTGATTTATAGCCCAGTCCAACGAGTTTTTCTTTTAACATTAATTTATAATTTTTAAATATTTATATATTATTTCCAATATACTTTTATATTTGTATTGGAAATTAGAAACGTAATTCTGTTGACATTTGCTGATTATATCATGAAATAGATCGACAATGATCTTAGGAGTTTAGGCAGAGTCTAGAGCTGCAGTCAACACTCATTATAAGTGACATTACAGTTAATTAAATATATGTGTTTGTCTAATGCCAGCTGCTCCTAGCGATCATTTTGTCACCTGGGCACATTATAATCAGAGTGCGACACGTGCGTCGAGCTACACACGCATCGTCCAGTCCACAGGTGTATCCGCCTCGTGTACTTGCCTGCGCCTCGTTGCCCAGCTAATAACATAATTAACATACAGAAAAAACAAAACACGTTTGACATCAATGAAATTCAATTTCAAATTGGCATGCGCAAAAAAAAAATGCAAATTAATCTGAACTGAACAGGTAACAGGTAACGAATACCGACGATGTCATACCCTCACATCCAAGAAGGAATAGTATAAGGCGCAGCGAGCGGCGACTCAGAGAGTATAAAGTACTTCTATGATAGCTTTAGAAATATATGTATATGTATATATTATAATGCTCTTTGTTTCTGTTATTTTTAAGCTCAAATGTTTAAACAATAAAAACGTGTTTATTTTATATTCCGAATTCAAATTGCATAAATAATATTAAATTTTTTAATTGGTATTAAAATAGTGAATCGATCGTGCCACTATAAACATAGACTCAAATAGTTATTTGTGCTTGAACTTGCTTCGTGAACTCTCATTCGAAATTTCAATTTCATCATAATATAGAATTTGTGAAATTGATTGATTTCGCTTTGAGCTGATTACCTTTGCTATCGCATTTCATTATTTTGTACCTGCATCTCATCTTAGTATATACAACAAGTATTATTTTTATATTTTTCACACAAATTTGCAAATGTTTTCTAAATTTAATTAACACTTTCCGTTATTTGTTTTTGTTTGTTACGACTTTTGCGTTGTTATTGAAATAATATATAGAAGTATTTTATATATATATATATATATATATATATATATATATATATATATATATATATATATATATATATATATATATATATATATATATATTTTTTTTTTTTTTTCTGGTAAAAAATTGTTGTTTTGTAAATGTATTTTGCACGCGTATTATTGCATTAGGAAAAGATTTCTTTGACGAATATATATATTATATATTATATATTATATATTATATATTATATATTATATATTATATATTATATATTATATATTATATATTATATATTATATATTATATATTATATATTATATATTATATATTATATATTATATAAACAAATAAATAAGAAATGATAAAAAATATATATATAGCCTGTGCTGTTGTGGAAAAAACTACTCATGTTTTGTATAATTTTTTATGTATTTATATCTCTCAATATTTGTGTTAATACATGTTGCATAGATCATGTTGCGGCAACAAGTATATTGAGTGAAGTATGTAGGCTTACATGTTGCAGCAGCATTGTGTATAGATCATATTGCTGCAACATTGTTAGCACCCTCATGTTGCGGCAACATTAGAAACGTAGCAACATTTTTGGTCTTACATACAGCAACATATTGAGCAGCCTCATGTTGCGGCAGCATGTGTATACACGTGTATAATATAATAACTGCTTGAATATACATATTGTTTTACATATATATACTATATGCATCATATATATATACTATATGCACCATATTAACTATAAAACCTTTTATCGTTTCAGAATGCGCTGTACAACAAGAGCTCTGCAGATATTGCAACTTTAATTTCAGCTAAAGTGAATGGAGCCACACCGCTGGTCATCTCCTGCCGCAATGGACACTACGACATTGTAGAATATTTATTGACAAAGTGCCGCGCCAATGTGGAACAGGTTGGCTCCGTTAGCTTTGACGGCGAGCCCATTGAGGATGCGCCGCCGCTGTGGTGTGCCGCTGCAGCGGGTCATCTGGGCATTGTCAAGATGCTGGTGCGTAGATTTGCCAATGTGAACAGTACGACGCGAACGAATTCGACGCCGCTGCGTGCCGCCTGCTTCGACGGACATTACGAAATCGTCAAATACTTAGTCCATCACGGAGCAGGTGAGTTGCCGGGTCTTTCCCCGAGCCACGCCGATTGCCGTATTGATGTTTGATCTTTGCTTGTCGCTTGCAGACTTCGAGGTAGCCAACCGGCATGGACACACCTGCCTAATGATCGCCTGCTACAAGGGACACTATCGCATTGCACAGTATCTGCTTTCGCTGAACGCGGACGTGAATCGGTGCAGCATCAAGGGTAACACGGCGTTGCACGATTGCGCGGAGTCGGGCTCATTGCAAATACTGCAGCTGCTGCTGAAACATGGAGCCACCATGGACGTGGACTACTATGGCATGACGCCACTGTTGGCCGCCAGTGTGACTGGACACAGGCCCATTGTGGAACACCTGATAACGCTGCCAAGTGTGAGTCGGGTGGCGAGAATCGATGCATTGGAGTTGCTGGGAGCGACATATGTGGACAAGAAACGTGATATGGCCGTGGCACTAACGCTTTGGCGACGGGCGCTGGAGGAGCGAGCACAGGAGCCGCAGTTACATAAAAAAGTGCAGGAACCGGTGCCGGCATATGAGCTGGTAACCGAAGTAACCACCATCGAGGAACTGGAGGAGTTGGTTCTCGATCCGGATGAGATGCGAATGCAAGCGCTGGTAATCAGACAGCGTATCCTAGGACCGACGCATCCGGACACCAGCTACTACATTCGTTTCAGGTAGGTGGTATTATGCCATGAGCTATCGTTGGCTTATCGATTCCCATTTGCTTGCAGGGGCGCACATTACGCTGACGCTGGCCGCTTTGATCGCTGCATTGAACTCTGGTCATATGCTTTGACTATGCAACAGAAAATCTTGCAGCCGCTGAGCCCCATGACACAATCCTCGTTACTTTCCTTTGCCGAGCTTTTCAGCTTCATGCTGGTTGAGGCGGGGCGTCTGTTGCCCCGTGGACGCATTGTGCCGCCCATTGAGGCTGACGGCATGTTGACCATCTTTCACAAGGCTGTGCTGGAGGTGGAGCGTGGTCAGGCATTTACATTGGAGCAGCATCAACATCAGCAGCTGCTGCCAGCTGCCAGCAAACAGCTAACTCAATCGCCATCCTCATCATCGACATCATCGTCCTCCAGCTCATCATCATCCAGCAGCTCAGCGTCCGCCTCATCGTCGACCACGTTGTTGTCGGCTCATCAGCACGACTGCAATCACGATCCCAATGCACTAAGTCGCACTCTGGTCAGTGCCCTGCACATTGGTTGCCTGCTCAGTTCACTGCTCGAAGCGGACAGTTTCTGTCCGGACATGCGGCATCAAGTGATGAACGCCTTATATCGCCTCAACCGTCTCAATGTTCACGTGCGCTTTGGCCGTACAGCCCTGCACTATGCCTGCTATCGCGAGGGCACTCTCGTGGGTCGATATCCCTCCGGGCAGTTCCCATCCGTGTCGCTGGCAAAAGCTCTGCTCGAAGTAGGCGCCGATCCGAATGCCGTGGACGATTCGGGCAATACGCCGCTACATCTAGCCGCGACACTCCAACCTTATGTCGAGCCCTTGGCGCAGACGTTGCTCGAGGGTGGCGCACACTTGGTAAATATAACTAAAAAGAATAATGTGTTTTGGCCACTAATCCAATGCCGCCTTCTATACGACACAGGACACAAAGAACGACGCTGGAGAGACGTTTGAGACACTGCTGGCGCACACACCTCTGCACAAAATCATCGATCCCATGAAGTATACAACGCTGGCGTGTCTAGCGGCGCGTACAATCAAACAGCATAGCATCAAGTATGAGGGAACTGTGCCCCCCGCGCTGTATCAGTTCATCGAGTTGCACTAGGCAAGCTGCAGTTGCGAGCGCTGAACGAGAGAGCTATTAGGCTGAGGCTCGTTGATTCAATGACACTCGGACACTCACACACGCACAGACACAGAGACTGGACTGGACCAGACCGGACCGACCGACCGCCCGCCCGCCATCGTAGCTATGCCACGTGGATAGACATAATATAGCAACTACCTATTACTACTACTATTACTTTTAAATATTAGAGCTGATGGGAGAGCGTTACTAATAACTAGGAACTGATTTGTGATGTTTGCAAGCGAAGTGCCCAATCCTGGTGCAGGATCCGGATCGACAACGATGAAGATTAACGAACGACGATGATGCTTCTGTCAAAAATCAATACTAACCAAAACAACAACAACATCGATGTCGAAACAAAACAAAAACGACAACTCAAATTCGCTGTTTATTATTTTGCTTGCAAAATGTGTTTTTATTGTGTTCTTGCTAATTTCTTTTGTATGTATGAATTATGAAAATAATAATAATAATAATTATAATAATAATAATAATAATAATAATAATTATAATTATAATAATAATCATAATAATATTAATAATAATAATAATATTATTATTATTATGCATACGCCACGTGGCTCCGTCGGGCAGCTAACACAATTGCACGCCTTCTTTGGGCTGCCGCAAAGTCCTCATAGTTGCCGCGATCACGCCCATGTCGCGTATTATTATGCATAATTAGCGTGTACTATAAAACTGTCCACCCCTCACACTCCCGACTGATCCGTTTGCCAGAGCAATAAAAATGAAACTAAACGAGAACAGAGCTTGCATCAAATACTATAATTCAACGATTTCTTTTATGTTTCCATTGGTTTTTCTCTTTCACTCGGCGACTGTGCGTTAACGGTACTCAGCTTAAGCAAGAAAGCTAATTCTTATAACTAAAATATACGATAGGAATATACATATGCATACATATACAAATACATATACAAATACATATACATATACATATATTACGCACTGTAACATTTTAATATTATCCGATCGAAACACATGCAAAAGGCGAGAAGTTCTTGATGACCTTGTGTTGTGTTAATACTACTGGAGCAGACAAGTGCCACTGTAATACTGTAATATTATGCATTTGGGCGTGTCACATCGTATGCACCGGCCTGCCAGGGGCAGCCTGCTTAGAGCAGTGCAGCACTGGTGGCCAAAATAGTTGATCCACTGCGTTTAGATTGAATTTTAGTTAGTCGTTGAAATGAAATTTGAGAAAATTATTTTTTAGATACATTTTCAAATTAAGTTGAATTTTTATCATTGGTAAACACTGAATTATGCTCAATTTTGTGTTTTTATAGAATTTAAAATATATTTTTGCTTTAAATTTTCATTATTTTGTTGTCAAAATTAGAGAAATCTTAAATTAATTTTATTTTATTTGAGCTTCTACAATATTGATGAAGTCTAGTTGTAATTTTTAGTTGAAATTTCATTTCAATATTTAAACGTTTTCCAAAATTTAATCAAGTTCTCTTTAGGCTAGTCACAATTGAAGCAAAATACTTTAAAAATATTAAAATTATTTCAAATTTCTGTTAACGTCTCAGGTATAATTTAGCAAAGCTCAGAAAGAACTGTTACAGCGCGACACTTTTTATGGCCGGCAGTGTAGGCCTAATATGATTCAATTATATTGTCATGCATACGAAAACGATTTACGTAGATTTACTTTGTGTGTGTGTGTGTGCGTCTGTACGCGCACTATATAAATATTATATCTATGTTAAATTATGCAAATTGTATAACCGCCTAGCCAAGTAAGTCGCAGCAAGCGAGTAAATTCGAATTTGGGCTCCAATGCGGGGGAGAGACTAGGCTTATCGAGGGGAATAACTATAGTTGCCTAAGTTCAATGTGTTTCTTATACTAAGTTGTTAACTGTCTAAATGTGTATATCTATGCCTATGTTAATCTATGCATGTGAAACCCTAGTTTACACACTTTCAATGCAAAACACACGAAACTGATAAATTATATTTTAAAGAAAACAACAGCAAAGCATTTTGATTCGCGGCTATAAAAGACAGAGTTGATTCCATTGGAGGCAAGCGAAATGTTGCAGTTTCTGTTGCTTGGCCTGTTGGCCGTGGTCGGGGCCCAGGACTCGGAGTATTTCGAGAACTACTACAACGAGATTGATGTGGACGATGAGCTGGCAGAGATCAAGACGCGCAACGCTATGCAATCGCCGCTGCAATTGTGGCCCAGCACAAGGATCTACTATCGCATAGCCAGCGACTGTAGTCCGGAGGAGGTGGCCAATGTGCACACGGCCCTCGCCACGTTCAACGAGCAGACCTGCCTGCAGTTTGAGGAGCTGTCAGGGCCGGCTGCAGCTGGCGCTCGCTATGTCTACTATAAGAAATCGGACAAGCTGTGCGGCACTCGCATTGGCTACAATCCCATACCGATCCTGGGCTCCGGCTCACACGATGTCCAGCTCTCGCCGAAGTGCCTGTCCTCGCCGGGCATTATACAGCATGAGACACTGCATTTGCTGGGGCTCTACCACGAGCAGAGTCGACCCGATCGCGACGATCACGTTGTTATCGATTACGATAACATTCCGCGCAAGTATTGGCCACAGTTCATGGCCACCTCGACGGCCACTACGACCACATACGATGTGCCCTATGACTTCGATAGCGTCATGCACTATCCGAAAAATGCCTTTGCCAAGGATCCCACTCAGCCCACAATACGCGCCCTGGTCGACGGCTCAGCTGTGGAGCGGGATATGGGACAGACGATGGGCCCAACCGAGGGTGACTTATTCAAAATACGCAAGATGTACAAGTGCGATCAGGCCTTATAATCACGCGACTTAGACAGAGAGAAAGAGTGAGAGAGAGAGATTCAGTTGACAATAAATTGGGAATTTGTTTAATTGGGAAATTTTTTATTCCTTTGTTGATTCGTTAAGAAATAGTTAAGACGAAAAGTGAAATAATGTTAAATTGAACAAGAATGGTAAGTAAGAAAGAAAGAAAATACCTTGAACCACGGCCTATTTTCTATTCTATTAATAGAAATCCGAAACGGATTGCACGCGTTTGACTATTTGCTACTTCTATTACCCTTTGCGCTGCTTTCCACGAGGTGTTGTCAGCAGAGCAAACGTCTCACTTTATAACTTCTGTGTTACTTGACGGATTTCATTGAAATTTTCAGCATATGATCTACATATTCTATGGAATATTTGTCTGTTTAGTAAGACTGCAAACTCTTTCACATATTGTGCATATTTTTGCAACTAAACTTCCATTTAAAGAATTTGAAAAAATCTGACCGGTATTTAAAATATAACAAAAATCAAAATTGTATAAAATATTCACGAAGCTAAACGCAAAATTTGAAGTCTCTAGCGCTCGCTACTTGCAAGTTATAGCTTAATAACTGTATTTAGATATTTGATCGATTACATTAAAACGAGAATAGCTATCGATTACAGGAAGCAAAATTGATGTGGGCCTGCTATACAGGGACCTACAACAAAACTATAAGTCTCAAGCTCTTGTATATCTGAGATCGATGCGTTCATACATACGGACAGACGAACGGACGGACAGGGCTAGTTTGATCCATTTTGTCTTCCTGATCTAGACTTTAGATATTTTGTGTAGTCTGCTAAATCTCCTTCTGCCTGTTATATATATTTAAATTAACATAATTAACGTAAAACATATAATTTTCTATATTTTATATGTTCAAGTTATATATAATATGAGCCTTAGCTGGCATTGCTCGACTTAATATCCCGTAACCCAGTTCGATTCGTTTGCTCTGTTTATTTACAATAATTATTATCTTGAGTTACTTCTTTCTTATTTTTTTAAATGAATATAAGTTCTTTGATAAATTTTGTTTATAAGTATACAAGCAACCCTCGTAAATTGAATAATCATATATACATGTAATAAAGATCTTTATATTTAATATGTTTGTCAGACAGATATGCCCAGAAGACAGTTAGCTGCTGCTGGTGCTGCTGCCGCTGCTGTTTAAATCCTTTTCAATTTTGTGCCAAAGTGTCAAAGTCAGTTAACTGAATAGTAACTGGGCTGTAAACTATTGTAGGGCAGTGTGAGCTTCGGCTTGATTTGGGCAGACAGCCAAGGAAATTAATGTGACCAGAGTGCTTAGCGAGTGTGAGTGCCAACTGTCTTTGCCAGCCTAAAAACCTGTGAGTGTGCGTGCGTGTGTGTGAGGGTGTGTATGTCTGGCATAACTAGCAAATAGCTTTGTCTCTGCAAACATTTACAATTGAAGTTGAATGCATTAATTTTGTGTACTTTCAAATTGTAAATGTGTCAAAAAAAAAAACAGCAACTACAAATGCTGACCGTCACTTTAGCCTTAAGAGCGCTTGCATATGAAATGTGCGCCGGCATGGCTTAAGAGAGAGCTCGCATTCGCAAGTTCGAAACTTCAAAAGCTGAAAGAGCTCTGGAAGCAAGAAGAGCACATGTTGCCTAAGTCTGGCACCACTGTGCCCTAACTGTGGCATGGCGAAAGCTCTCTCTTCATGGCGCGCTCTCCTTTGCGCGCTCTCCTTTTGCCTCGTCGGCTGTCGGGCTCGGCGCTGCCTTGGCTAACTCGCTCGTGTGTTGTGGTGTGTTCGAGTGCCTGTTTCAGTATATTTAGTGCAGTCGTGTCGTTCGGTCGTTTCAACGGGACACCCGCATAGCTTTGGCCTAGTGAAAAGACAATTCAAGCGCACACACAGTCAAGCAAACAGCCAGCTCTTATACACTTATACGCGCAGTGCTTTCTGTATGTGTGTGTCTGTGTGCTTTAGGTGCGGCGACGAGCTGAAAATAAAAGTTGTTCAATGTGCAACGGTAAATAAATAATTAAGCTAACATGCCAGTCAACACATAACAGCAATTTACTAATAGTGAGCGAGAGAGTGTGAGAGAGATAGCGAATGCCGATGCAAATAAATATGCAACATTTGAAGTGAAGAGTTGTGTTCGATAATAACATAATAACAAGAAAGTGTGAAATGAATTATCTTAATCTTATGCTCAAGAAAAAAGTGTTAAGTTAACAGTTCTTTAAATGCTATATAACTGTTTTGTGCTCAGTGGAAACAGTGGCTCACAGATTTCATCATACATCCGCAAACGCCTCATGCCAAGGACAACCTCGAACAATATAAAGCCCAACTTTGTTTTGATTTTGTTGCTTAACCCGAAGGCCGCACCAAAAATAAATGTTGTCCTTTTCCTTTTTTCTTTTTTTGGCTGCCAGGTGCTTTAAAATACCTTTACACAAAAAAATCAATGCGAAACAGTTGCCAAAAAAAACCTTTTGAGGTTGTTCCGGCAGGAAGATTCATGAAAGAGAAAAAAATTTTCCAAAACTATTTTATTTTTAATTAAAGATTAATTTGAAATGTTAAGTGCTAAGAAACGTTTCCCATACAGCTAACTAATTTTGAATTAACTTTCCGGTCTGCTGGTTGGGCTTGTCCGAGACTTTAGTTGTCATATAAATTGAAGCCAAGAACAAAGTCATAACAATTTGCATTTCTAATAAAAAATCGTCCTTTGGGGTCTCAAATGAAAATATTAGACGCATGAAGGGTTGCCAGATCTGGCATATACGTAAGCCAGCGAATTACGACCGGTGGAAAAACCACTGAGAGAAAAAAGGGTAAAAAACAAGTGAAAAGGGATAAGGAAATTATTTTTACGCCGCATTTTATGCTTCGGTTTTCTTTTGACTGGACGCCATGGGCGTAAATAGCCCCCATGCCATTTGGGTGAAACTTTATCCTTTTTTCTTTCGCTTTTTGTTTGATTTTTTTCAGTGGGATTTTAAAGCATTTTGAAGGGCTTCATTCCTTTCATTCCTTAAAGCTACAACGAGCACGAGACAAATAACAAAAAACAATTTAACACCTGCTTCTGCTTTCCATCTAGAGAAAAGTTGAGCATTTGGAATAGACAGTTAATTTGCAACCACAACAACTGAAACATCTAAGGTCCACGCCCTACTTAAACTACTTAAGGTAAATTCCATTATATTTATAAGCTAATAAGCCAATAAAATCACATTTAATTGTTTGGATAATGCAGATAATCACCCAAATGCTGTTAGCCTTTTACTTCTTACATCTATTATAAAATCAATACAACCACAAATAGCTGTAAAGTCAGGGCAGGGGATTTATCTTAAGAGGAAGCCCACGTGGATTCTAATTTTGGTTTCGTTTGCGGTTTATTTGATGATCAGATACAACATAGTTAAAGCAAAGGCGAGGAAGAGTGGATATTGAGGTATATTGTGTTATTTTTGTAGCAGCTGCGCAATTCAATTATGAAAGGAGTCGTAGAAGAAGCCGATGAGCGATTATCCTTGGTAAATTAAAAGTAATATGGGAATAGTTGATGTAATTGAAAATAGGATGAGAGTATATGGTGTAGGTGGTATGCATGGAATATATGGTATACATGATATATGTGGTATATATTTGGTATATGTGGTATATGTGGCATATATGGTATATCTGGTATTTATGTGGAATATATTTGGTATTTATGGGTTGTAGTATCTGTGGTATATGTGCTATCTATATGGTATATATAATATATATACTATATATTACGTATATTGCATATATAGCATATAAGATATATAGTATAATAATTTTTATGAACTTAAAATATTTGGCGAAATAGTTATCTCTTATTTTGTTTAGCCTTTTCATTAAATTTGAATATTCAAACTGTTAAGATTTAAATATATCTCATGGTTTTTCCATATCTTTTGTTTGCGCAAACAATTGTTTGAGGGTATTGATTGTGGCATAATTAAGAGTGATAAGATGACAAAACAATTGTTTGAGGGTATTGATTGTGGCATAATTAAGAGTGATAAGATGACGAGGGAACGATAGGGAGCATATCTTCATAATGACTAATTACAGCTAGAAGTAAACTTTTCAACTTTTGCATAAACTTGCAAAGTGTTGTGCCTTAAAAGCTTAAAAGAAATAACTGTTGATAGAATCTGTTCAATTTTAAATTATTTTAGTAAATATATTTTTATTTCTATCTAAGTTTCTTTACAGTTTTTCAAGGTGTTTTTAAATATGAGCTTTAGAATCTTCGAAAATTAACTGCAGAACAAAACATTTTTTTTAAATTTTAAATTAATTTTTATATATGTTTTAGTTAATGTGAAAAATTTTTTTTATTTAATATAATAGGGACAGAGAGAGAGAGAAAGAACAATCGAGCGAGAGAAAGAGTGAGAGAGAGCGTGGGCGACGCGGCTAGAGAATTATGTCTAGCTTGGCTTAACTCGTTGTCCTGATTATGATTTCCAATGGGCACACAATGCCCCGCTCTCAGTACCCCACTTAGGTTACAATGCACAGATTTCATGCCCCAAGACTCGCGAATAAGTTTAATGTATTCATATATATAAAATGGGTCTTGTCACTGCTCTATAGACCCGAATACATAATTACGTAATGCCCTAAAGGTGCCAGCCGAAGAACGGCTTCACTTATCCGTGCACAGATTTAGCATTGACACCGAAACATTTTTTTTCTTTCTTTTGGTTGAGCGTGTGGCAAAAATTTTGCATTCCCATTTTTTAATATTTTTGCTCGCATTCGAGTTAAGCTGCGAACATAATAAACATTCAGTTTGGGTTTTTTCTGACACTTTTACTGAGAATGTTTCGTTATTTTATTTAAGCTTGATTCGGATTAATATTTTTTTCTGTCGGTTCAATGTTAGCTTTGTGTGTTTTGTTTTGAAACATTGTGTCAGATGGAAAAACTCAATGGCATTTTGAAATAATTAATATGCAAAAAAACAAAGGGAAAGCGTAAAACATGCAGAGTTAAAAAGAGCACCCATTGTATTTAATGCCGCCAATCGAATTTATTATGCATGTGATAAATGTGGAAATGTGCGGCAAAAGAAGCGGTATCAACTGCAGCTGCAGCAGAGGTCGCTGGATAATTAAAGTAAATTTTTATTGGCCAATATGCATTGTTTTTAATCAAATATAATTACACGGCCTGCATATTTCATTAATTAATTGAAGGCGCTAGGGCGTGGCCCGTGCCTACCCTTTTAACCCTTTTGACAGCTGTCAACGATGTCAATAACCCACATCCATGTGCATCTGGATGGGTAGCAGCAGAGTATATTGGTTTATATATCATATCAGATAATGACTCTTCCTCTTCTTCATCTTTTATAAAGCTTGCATCATCAGCTATTGCAATGTTAACTTCATCCAATCGCAACTTCTGCTTTCATTTGTTTTTTTTTTTGAGCGAGCATCTTGCAGCCAGTTAGCTGCGATTGTAATTTTTTAGTGACTGCGGCCAACGCACATTTTAATGGAAATTATAATCAAGCTCTGCGCTTTAATTATGCAACGCGGCTGGGCGAATGGGCGAATGGGTGAATGGGGCAGGCACTTACAAGTTAATGCAAGAACAGTGAGATCTGCTGCTAGCTGACTTTGGCTTAATCTACTGCTTTGCTTTCACTTTGTTGTCTAGATCCACGTGGCGTATACGCAACGCGCACCTTGACACTAATAATGCCTAACAAAAGAAGCAGAAAGTAAATGGAAATAGCTTACAGCAGTCGCCCAGCCACTCGCTCACCTTGGCTTACCTTTGCCGCAGCTGTCTGATTGTTGGCAAGATGAAATGCCATTGGGGCCAGGCCAATTCCTTGTGTACGTCAACCCGGCGACGCCATGTGGCATGCGGTAGCAGCTGTTTCTGTTCTCTAAATAAATTTCTTCCTGTTTTTTTTTCGAGTTTGTTCGAGCATCGGACATTTCGTTCTGCCGGATAGTTCTTGATGAAACTTATTTGGGCATTTTGATGAAGGAATTTTAGTTGAATTTGGATTCGTTTTGGGAATTGAATTTATTTAGATAATCGATATTTTACAATTCAATACAATATAAGTTGCATGTCTTTAGTTTTTAAGTATTTAGTTCTAGTTTATGTTGTGGGTTTTTCTATGGAATGCAATTCATAGTCACTTAGTCACTTTACTTCTTTCAGGAAATCTCTCAAATTCTATAAGCTACATTGGCGTAAAGTAGGAGCAAGAAGGCTTTACTTTTGAGATTACTTAATCCTCAACATCCCTCCCCAAAAGTCAAAAGTCATATTACAAATTTTATATTATAAATGTTAAGGCTAGAAGAAGCACTGCCCAAACGTCAGCTAAGCAATAAAAATCATCTCAGCCTGACGTTCAGGGTACTTCTGAGTCAGGCATATCCGCCCACAGCATTGCCACTAGTTAATTTCATACATTTTTAACTAGTCATCGCTGAAAGAGCATTTCTAATGCATAATAAATGAACGACGCCGACAACGTCGTGGACTTTAAACTCTAAAAAGTAGCTCTTTATTTATTTATACGCGTTCTGAAGTTTGATGTCTGGAAACTAATTAAGGCGTAGCCAAATGAAACTTTCAATATGTCTCAATTTATGTGCCAATAAATGTACGAGAGGGATTGACCTTTGGCCCTTAATAAAACTTTAATTATTTAAATATTTTTAAATTTACAGAATGTTGCGGTCTGCGTTCATTTGAAGCGAACCCACAAATTGAATTAGGCAATTAATTAAATTAAAATGTTTAGCTGAAAAACAATGATAATAATAAGAATTATGTCGAGTCTCAGACTGAGTTAAAGTTGATTTTAATTAATTAGTTGCTTATCAGAGCTTCAGTTAGCCGCAGTTTAGCAAAGTTTTATTTCTAATTGAAGAAGAGTTAAATAAATCTCTCTGTGAAAACCTCCGAGTAAACTAATAATGTTAATATCTTAAAGTAAAACAGACTTATACCAAGAATGCTTGCAGCTCTTGCTCTGCACTTGCCACAAATTACAGCCAAAATTATTTATGGCAAAGGTCGTACTTGAAATGGAATTACATAGATTTCCATTAAAAGTATTTATGCTACAGCATTTGCTCTCGCCCTCGCCTTCAGCTTTGATTATAATTTGTATTTTTTTCTTCGCTTTTCTGTTCTTCGGCATTTCGGCAGTTAGAGAAACAGATTCATAAAGCCAGCAAGCCAGGGCTAATATATATAAAATGTTTGCGTCGCACTGTCTCATACTTTAACTATACAGATACAAATACACAGACAGTGGCAGAGGCAGAGGCAGAAGCAGGACATTCTGTGAATACAGCAAAAATACAGCACGTGCCGGCATACGCACAAATTTCCATTTATTTTGGCTTTGACATTTGAATTTTTAATGAAATTCCAAATATTTTAACGCTAACTTTTTTTTGTTGTTTTGCTTTCACTCTATTTGTCTCGCTCTCTCTTCTAGTCTCTCCTGCAGCTGGCGCTGTCGACGCAGGACAACGAAGGACAATCGCAATCAGTACGCTTGCCGGCCGGCAACGGCCGCTAATGAAGATGAAGTGATAGCCAGTGATATCGTGTTAAAGTGGAATTAAATAGAATATAAATCGCTGGAAAAATGACAGCGATTTCTCAGCACCAGCCGAGCAGAACAAATGCAAAGTAGTTTGCCAACATAGGACTCTGGCAGGCTACAAATAGCAACAGCAGACTTGAACTCGGAAACGGAACAGGCGGACAGTGGTGTCGAGCAGAGCAGAGCAGCGCAGCGCAGCGCAGAGCAAGCGCCCCAAGCAAGCCGGGCAATTTGTAAGCCGGCTCGGCAATTTCACGCATCGCGGCAGCATGGCAGGCGCTAATAAGGCGACGAGCCACGCCCCATTGTTATACAGTTGCCAAAAAAATGCCCATTCTCAGCTAGATTCGAGAGCGCCTACCAACTGAGCGAGCGAGTGACTGACTGACTAGTCCCAAAGTAGCCCTCCCCCTCCTCACACACACACACAAAGACGAGTGAAATATTATGGCAACTTTTCAAATGGAAAAACGCCAGCAGCAACAGCAGCAGCAGCAGCAACAAACGAATTTAAAACAACGACAAAGACAGCAGCATCAGACAGATCGTGCAGCAAATTCGAATCAGGAGGCGCAGCATGAGGAGCACCGGCAAGGGACATTCACAAATTGCAACCGGCTCTGGCCAACAACCTGCTCGACGCCGGCCAGCGTCACAACTGTCGACTGCAGCAGCTGCCAGCGAGCGCTGATAATGCTCAGCATGTTAGTAGTTGTCATCGTTGTGATATCCGGCAATGGAGGTAAGTGACAGGCAGGCCAACTAGTTTATGCTTATTCTCATTTCTCATTTCTCATTTCTCAGTTCTCAACTCGCATTCCCATTTTCATTTTCATTTTCATTTCCATTTCCATATCCATTGTCAATCCCATTTCCATTGACATCAGCTCCGACTGTGTGGCGCCCCCATTTTAATCAAATTTCGTGGCCCAGTTTTTGTTCGAGCCTTCTTCGCCTAGCACAAATTGCAATTGTTGTCAAATTGATTTGACCAATTTCATTTATTGATTTCGATTTTCGATATCGTTCACTTCGCTCTCATGTCCAATGAGTCAGCGGACTGACTCTGCCAACTTGGCATTTTTCGAACGCTCGGCCTTGCATAAGTCTTCTGGCCCGAGTTTTTAGGTTAGGTAATTAATTTTCCTTCCACCTCTAAAGTCTGGGGAAATCAATGTTTTGGCCAGACCCAGGACCGGCCAGCTACTAACTCCCTAGCGACTTTCTTGCCCTGATTGAGTGGATGCGAGCCAATCCGTGAGTATCTGCATGAGTAACTGCAACAGTGTGTGTGTGTGTGTCTGAGTGTGTGTGTGTGTGTGTGTGTGTGGTTGTGGTCGGCCCTTCATTTTACTTTCATTTTTCATATGCCGTGTGCTCGCTTAATGACAAGTCTGTCTTGGGGCTTTGGGCCTGTTGCCTTGGGCCACCTGAGTGTAGCATATAGCAGGCCATATGATCATTAGGTCTTAATGAACTGGCAAACTTATCAGATGATTATTAGATGGTGTCGACTGTTCACAAATTATACATTATTTACATTAATATCAAGAATATCTATTGTTTATTATAGTATAATAAAATGTTTAACAAATTGGGGATTTGCTCAAATAATTTTGATGTAAGGAAATCGAATCCTACGAAATCTCTTAATTTTCTAGTTCTATGAGAATATATAGTTCTTTACACACTATAATCAAAACAAAATGATCAAATTATATTATCTTATTAAATAGTGTTTTAAGCATTTTCTGAACAGAACTGAACTTACTTCATTTGTAGCTCATAAGAAGGAACTTCAGTGGCTAACTTATTTTTTTATGAGTATATTTTCTATATAATATATTAAATTAAAAAATAATAAAATTTAAAATATAATAATATAATATAATATTTAAATAAAAATATAATAATATAATATAAAATTTAAAATAATATAATATTAAAAAATGAAAAAAATAAAAAACAGTTTTGGTAAACAAAATTATTTTCATTAAAGTCTCTGAAACAAGAGCAAAGATAATTTGCCTTTGTTGCAATTGCAATTTGCTTGCCACAAACCTAGTCACAATGGTTCTTTAAGTGGTTTCAAATTTATCCACAACAAATTGTCAACAATTTTGTGAACTGTCAAAAGTCAGTAACCTCAATCAAGACGGAAAACAAAAGCTATGAATGAGCAAATTTTTGAAAAAGAAATATTCAAAAAAACGACATCAAGCGTCGCTCGACTCTCGACTTCCGACTTTCAATTTAGCGCATACCTTAATAAAAATAAAAATAAAACAACAATAAAAGCTTTAAATATTTAAAGAAGTTTTTTGTTGTTGCTCTGCGTTTCCTAAAGGGAGATGTCAAAAGTTGAACAACAACAAATTCTAATTTTTTAAGTGAATTTAAAAATTTAAAACTTTTTAGCAGACGTCATTTCAACACAACACACGCAGATACACATGATACCCTCCACACACACACACGCACGAAAATGAGCAAAAAGTTTTGACATTTCAAATGTTTCTGACAACAACAACAACAACAAAGTCATGTTAATAATAACTGCGCGGGTGTAACAAACTACAACAACAACGGCAACAATCTAAACAAAAACAACAGCAATGAGAAGAAGAAGCTTAGCAACAGGAACATGCCCTGCGGTCGTTGCTTGTTCGACGCTGACGTTGACGCAGCCGCCGCCGCCGCCGCCGCTGCTGACGTTGACTTTGACGTCGCGACGTCGAAACGAGCCGGCATATGACTTTTTGATTTCTGCAGGGCTCTTTTAAGCAAGTGTATTGGAGCTCTAATTTATGTTGTTGCTGTTGTTGTTGTCGCTGTTGTTGTTGCCATTACCGTTGCGGTTGCCACATCCCAAGCAGTCAATTTATTTTAATTTCTAGCCAGCGGCTCTTTATTTATCATGTTGTTTTTCCAGACAGCCCATGCAGACCATGATGGGCACCGTAGTGGCTGGCTGGCTGGGTGGCAAACGGACCTGCGAACAGGCGGGATTTGTGCGTTGCAGCAACTTATTAGCAACATTGTTTGCCTTGGCAATCGAACGGCGATTCAAACAAGGCAAACGCAGACGACGAGACGCTGATGTTGTCGTAAGGGCATATTGTTGCAGACGATATGAAGATTCCAGTCGATATTTGTGTTAAGAAACTCAGTTCAAACAACAGAAAGTATAGAAACAAGCAATTATATAGCACAGACATATGTTGTCTAGAGGCTAAGACTCGGTCAGACTGCCCTTTTAACTAACTATAAATTGACGTTGACAATTCGTCTAAGACTTAGCGAGTCTATCAGCTTTCGGCTACAGAGTATTGCGCAGCTGGGAATGCCAATGGCAGCATAACAACTTTGTTATTGTTCGGTCTGTCGTGCTGCGGCTGTCAATACAGCTAGTGCCACGTACAGCAGCAAGGATATGCGACTTATCTGGCCAAAAACATGGCCGGGGGCGGGCTGGCTAACAACAGCAAACGAGCTAGATAAGTTGTGTGTGTGTGTGTGTGGGGGGCGGTGTGTGCGGCCGACAGTCTTGGGGCAACGTGCACAACATGTTTAATCTAATAAACTCGCTGGCTGGCAACTATAAAATGGTCGCCAGCGCAGCTCGCCCAGCGCCATAAAACGACTCTGCCTGGGTGTAATAAGCGTATCAAGTGCCAGGCGCACACACACACGCCACGCACACGCACACATGCACTTAAGGAGAGAAAAACAAATACACACAAACATGTGTGTGCCTGTCTCAGGCAGACGTATCGGCGTCGTCCTTGCTGCTCGCTGCTAAGTGATGGGATAAATGGCGGTGGATAAAAATTGGTCGTAACTGCGACAATAGCAAGTTACCAAGTGGGTTTCACTGTAGTTCGTGTGTGTGCCGCACTGTCGTAGTGCCAGAAAACATGAAAATTTGATAAACGTAAAACATAAAAACAAAACAAAAAGCTTACATCGAAACTTTATGCCCCATATGCGATATGGGCGTGTGTGTGTGTGGGTGTGCGTAATTTACTAATTACCTAAATGGTTGCAAGGTATTCGACCCAAAACCAGTTTATATATGCGTGTGTGCTGCCATCGATGAAAAGCAAACAATGCGCTGAACCACAAAAGTTGAACATCTGCTCTGGGGTCGGACTAGAAAGTTGAGTTGAGGCAACAGTTAAGGCTGTTACGGCCAAAAGTAAACTAATTGAACAATTATGGTAACGATATTGCAAACGCAGTTAACAATTTAATTAGCTCCGAGTGGACTGACAGCCAGCCGCCTGGCCATGCAAACAATTTAAAGCAATTGCCTGCAATTTGTTAACCCGTCAATTCATTTTTAATGGCCGACAACGTGACGCATCACCTGCTGGCCTCGTGTGTATTGGCAGCTAAAGAATTTTGAATTTCATTTTATCGATTGTTCACTGCAGAGCTTAGCGCTGAGGTTTTCCCTGGAATTGTTGAAGTAATTGGCTTGATTAAGTCCTTCCTAAATATTCCCAGCCTAAACATATGCTTTACTATTTTATAAATATTTTGAATTTCGTCAATTTAATTGAAAGCTTTTTACCCTTTCCATATTTTCTCTTTGCAATATTTTAGTTTTTTTTTATATCAGAATTTCTCACATCTCGCCAGACTTAGTTGGGCTCGAAAAGTTGTCAAAAGGAAGCAAATTGAATTGACAAACTTTTGGAATTGGCTAGCTGAAAGTATTTGATATTGAGTTTGAGCCTTTGTTACTACCGCATTGCATATTAATTAAAAGTCTTTAAATATAGAGTCAACAAAGCTGCACAGATTTTTGATATTTTTCCCTTGCACCCGAATTACTTAGTTCATCTAGAACAAAAGCTATGCAACACATCAATTGTTTCGTATTGTAAGCCAAAGAGAAGAGAATGATTGAAACATCAAAGCAGAAGTTCAGGGTATTTTTTAGTTAGGCACTCCCAGCATGATTTCTAGTTTTTCTTCCAAACCTTTGCATCATGCGTCCTCATCAGCCTTAGCAGCAATTTCCTCATCTAGAAACCTTTGCAATTGCTTTAGCTACAAAGACTTAAGCTATGATAAGTCAGGCTCACAGTGAGGGCAATTGCTAACTCTTATATATAGATAAAAAGATAATATAAATAGGAAAATAGCTTAGTCGATGCAGCTGCTATATTTATATCTATCTCTGAGCTTATCAGTCCATCAATCATTTATTCTTTGCTACTTTCTTAGCTTTAAAATGAAACCCGCTGCGGAAATGGTAAATGGGACAATTTCAAATATGAAACGGATGCAATAACAAATTAATGATTTCCTAAACACATGCGAGACTCGAATGTGTTTAGCAAATGTCATTCCGAGACAATTGCCCCGCAATGAACACGTGTGACATACTTTTTGGCGAGCACTGTTGCATTTTGATGTGGCTTTGATTGAATTTGCAGTTGGATGCGCTAATAACATTGTTCTGTGATCGCTTCTTCTTTGCAGTGTTGGCGGCGCAGCGGGACTCGTACAAGTCGAAGGATATGGGCAGCAGCAATAATGCCATACCGAATGAGGGCGACGCTGCAGCTGCTGTTGCCGGCAATGGTGTTGCCGGAAGCGGAAGCATGACCAGCACGACCAGCAGCAACGGAAGTAACAAAAATGGCCAATCAATGGCAACCGACAGCAGCTCCAAATACAGCTCCAGCTCCAACTTCAACGCCAACTCCAACTCCAACTCCAATTCCAACTCTAATACCAAAGCCAACTCCAACTCCAATGCCAACTCGAACTCGAATGTTTCAACTACCACAGCAATCAGTGGCATTGCGAGCAGCAGTTTGCACAGAGGCAACTCGATAGCCTCGCTGGCTGCTGCCTCCAGCATCAATCGCAACAGCATCGATCTGATCGAGGACTCGCGCAGCAGCGGACCCTATTTCGACAAAGGCGCCTCCAAGAATGTCACTGCGCTGCTGGGCAAGACGGCCTACTTGAATTGTCGCGTCAAGAATCTGGGCAATAAAACGGTAAGCGAAACGCGAATAAACTAAAGCCAAAAGCCAAAAGCCAAAAGCTTTTGCAATTGTTATGCCATTAGCTGCCATCAAAATACGATTTGTAATGCATGCATGTGTGTGTGTGTGTGTGTGTGTGTCTATGTGTGTGTGTTATATTTCATGTTTTTCAGCTAATTAGCACGTAAACTGCGCCCACATGGCGGCTTTGGCTAATTGTTCCGCTGCCAAACAAAATGATTAATTATACTGAAACAGGAAACAGATTTTACTTTATTCAACTTTGCCGCTGCGACTTCGTCGTCGTGCTGTGCGCGGAAGGAAATGCCGCAAACATTTCGAAAACACACAAAACTCCACCGCCTCCCCTTGCAGCCAACACCGCAACACTTCCGACGTAGGCTTTAGCCAACCAAAACTGCTAAACTATTCAAATCGTCTGCTGGGACCTCACCAGCATGGCAACTCCACACACAAATTCAAGAAAAACGAAAATAAAATAGGAAAAATTGAAATTTATGTGGGCGAAGCTTTCATTTCGTTATTTTTATACCCTTAAAACTCAATGAACATGTGCAAAAAGGGTGTAATGGCCGGCTGCAAATATGTTTTGCTACTTCAATGCCATAAAGTGTTGATATTATGGGTTGGTGGTGTAGTTGGTCAATAAACTATTAGAGATATTTTTGGTATAGGTTTCCTTTACGATATTCAACTTGAATTATCGACCACTTTTTGTGGTTTTATTTATTTTCAAACTGAAGCATATTTTGTTAGGCTTAAGGAGACTGAAGAATTTCCCAAATATTTCATCTGAAAATTGCATAAAAATGTCATAAATTAATCAACTACCTACGCTCAGGGTATTTGTTAGTCGATCACTTTCTGCTTCACTTTTGTTTGCTTTCAGGTTTTGTTTTCCGTTTTACTTTTTTTGGGGTTTTAGTTTTGCAACCTGCGCCGTAGTCATTCGGTTTCCGTTGCTTCCTGTGCGGCGGCCGACGCCGTTAGTCCGGACTTATTTCTCGATAATAACATGCTACATGTCTGGGCCGTGGGTCTCACCTGCACTTGTGAGTGGCTCGAATGGCATAGACATTGGTGCTGCGGTTTCGAAAACTAATTTGCGTGATTATTAAATTCGAGTAGCTGTGGCTGAGCGCTCGTTCCGGCCTGCTTGTGCATGGGCTGTGGGCGATGCAGCGGGTAGAGTGAAAAGTTTTTAGGCCCTTCGTCAGATAGGCTGTCAACACACACGAAGATTTAGGTCAGGTTGGGTCGGGTCGGGGTACCTTGGAATTGTTGGCAACTTCATTAGATGCCAATTAGTTGGATAACTTCATCGATCATCAGCAGACAGTCGCCGAGTTAATTAACTAGTTCTTATGCTTTCGACACTCAATTAAAACGGCGTCGCAATTCAAATTTAATCTGTTGGAATATAAAAAGCTTAATTTAGATTTAACTAGAATTATTATTTTTAGTCTTATGTATTATAGATTTTTTGAGTTAAATTCAATGTGAGAAAGACATTAGTTTGAAGAACTTTAGATAGCTTTACGTTGTCAAAGAAGAATGAAACAAAGCAGGGATTCAAAAGGATTAACTAATGAGAACTTCATGTGGAAGGTTTCTAGTGGTGTGAAATTCAGGCAAGAAACGAGCGAGAGAGTCGCTTCGATCGAGTGTGATGCAGTAGTCGAACGTAGCACAAGCATAGAGGTGCGAGAGACAGGAGGTTCTGTCGACATATAAAATGAGCAAAGGAGAAAACGAGGGGGAGGTGGCTTAAGAGGATGCATCCGAATCACCCCACTGCTCGATAAGATTCCGTATACTTGATATTGCGTATGCTTAACATTGCGTATACTTGATATAGTGCATGTCCTATATGGCGTATATTGAACATTGTACTTTCTATTATGTATATATGTGACCATAAATTCTTCAAGAAATATATATATATATATATATATATATATATATATTTATATAATATATAATATATAATATATAATATATATATATATATATATATATATATATATATATATATATATATATTTGTATATATATATAGGTTCCAGTAATTTCATATATTTCAGATCCAGCCAATTTACGTTCTACTTTCCAATTTTTAGTCCCAATTGCCAAAGACTTTCCGAGCGTAAATACAAATCCATTTCGTTGGGCTGTCAGCTTAAAGTCTAATTAGCTTTTACCTTGCGGCATGCCGCATCGGCAGTGGCAGCAGCAGCAGGGCTAACCGCAAGCCCAAGCTCAACCCGAAAAGTTAACTTTTAAACTTAATTTTCATTTTCATCCTCCCCCAAATAAGTAATACATCATTGGAGCTGAGATTTCTGTGGATCGCGCTAAAAACTTAAGCCAGCCGACAGAATTCAGAAAAAATCGGAGGTGTTAGCCGCCTTCTGCTTATGTATGCTCTGCTGTGCTGAGCTGTGTAATGATAAACAGGCAACGGATGTTTATGTTTTTCACATTATTAATGACGTTTTTCATTAGAGACGCAGTCGGAGTCGACATTTTACGGCTGCCACTGCTGCTGCTGATAACAGCATGCGAGCGGTAATGAGTTTTAAGGGGCGTGGCAGGCACCCCAACGAAAAACAAAACGCGTCTAAATAATTCAAAGCTAAAGTAAAGTCTGAAGAAAAAGTTTAGGTGCGCAATAATAATAGATTAATAGAAGCGTGCACGACTACTCGCATACCCTGTAATGCGGAAGAGAAGAACAGTTTTGAAAGCTTTTTATATGTGCCAGAAAATGCATTCAAGAATTATTTCGCAACTGGCCAACTGAAGTCATAAGTTGGCATACGAATATGCCTCTCTTGTTGCTCCGCGTACAGAGTATGTAATAACAAGCGGCTAACAAATTTTAAAGCATACTTTCGTGCGCACTGCAAATTGAGCCATAAAACGGCAAACATTTTGCCGCTGATTCTGTTTGGCCAGCATCCAGAAAGAGTATAAACTCCGGCTGCCTGGCAATCGATACACAAATTTTACGATACTGTAAACACGCATAACGCGCATAAACTTGGCTAAAGGAGGACCTTGATTCTGGATCTGGATCTGGATGTTGGGTTTTGGGTTAGGGCAAAGCTAAACGAAATTTTCGCGGTTGTTGGCAGCTTGAACTTGGCGCGGCTTGACTTGCCACAGCCTGTGTTTGTGTCTGAATGTTTGAACATTTGCTGTTAATTACAAGCAACTTTCTTTAAGCAGAACGTGAAACTTTGGACTAACATCGCTTCGTGTGTGGCACCTGCACAATCTGTAGTATCTGCTGGCGGCGGCAGCCTGTGCTATGCCATTACTCGGCTGTCCGTCGCCGAGTTTCTTGTCCATTAACTTTGCCGTCGCTCTTGTCGTCAGGCAGCATGCTGTTAAGCTGTTGTCATTGAAATTGAAAATGAAAATGCAAGCAGCTGACGTCTGACACGCGATACACTGTGGGCGGCACTGCTGGCTGTTCGTGTGGGTGGGGGTGTGGCTGTGGGCGTGGGCGTTGGCGAGGGTCTGCTGTGATGACACCCCTAAATCACAGTCACTTAAAAATGTTGAGCTAAGACACGTTAACAGCAGGTGGTTGCCAAACAGGTGTGCATTAGCATGGGCGTGCCACACACTCACACACACACACATGGTCGTGTTGCCTTCAATATGACTTGAAGCAGTTGCCATTGTTGCCAGCGGCACGGCACAGTCCACTGATAAGGGTAGGCACTGCTGCGTCGACCCATAACAACGCACCCTTCGGCAAGGGTCGTATACAATGCTGACACATGTGTTGCCCTTGCGTCAAAGTTTTTGCGTCTCTTTGGCAGGCGGCAAGCAACGTATAAAAACATTTCAAAATAAATTTGCATTTTCCATATCCAATCTGAGCGGCAACTCCGCCTCCATGCGCCACACGCCAACAGCAAAGATTGTGCGTGAAATAGACTTTTTAAACTGTTTGCCCAATAAATTAAACTAAACATGCAAATGCTCAGGCATTGACAAATGAAATCTTTTCTTGTGGCTAAACTTTTGATTTGATTTTATTTCAGATGCTTTTGCAAGTTTCGTGGGTGCGACATCGGGACATACATTTGCTCACAGTGGGACGCTATACGTATACGTCGGATCAGCGCTTTCGTGCCATACACCAGCCGCAAACCGAAGACTGGATGCTACAAATCAAATATCCCCAGCATCGCGATTCCGGCATCTATGAGTGCCAAGTGTCGACAACTCCGCACATGAGTCACTACATCCACCTGACAGTTGTTGGTAAGTCTCTCTGCACCGATAGGAAGGGAGCAAACCACGTTGTAGCCAAGGCAACTGGTTGTAGTTGGGTTCTGAATAATACAAGTATCAAACTAACAAATCAACAAAATTATAATGATAGTGACAATTGTTATAATACTAACTATAATATTAGTCATAATAATAATAATCTTTTTTTTTTCTTGAGTGACAAAATTCTCTTTGGTCTTTAGTCCGGTTTGTCGGACTGCATTTGCTGTTTACTAGCTACAAACAGTTTCTCTCTTGGGCGCGGCCTTCTCGCATTAATTTTCAGGTGCAGCCATTCTATGTCCTTTGACAGAGCACTGTCATTCGTGCTCCTACATCCAGCTTTCACTTGTGCCGCCTTTCTTTTCAGCTTTACGGCGAAGTCGCAGACTTTTTTTAAGCATCTTTGCATATTTGCACTATGATGCTCTCAACTTTGACTTCACCTGATAAATAAATATACATATATATATATATATGTCACATATAAACATTTATATTTGTATCTTCTATCCACTATCTTCTACACACTAGCACTAGCAAAAAATGTGCTCTGCGTCCATTGCATTTTCGCATTAAATGCGACAGAATTTAGCACTTTTTACTTTGTTGTGTTGGTGTTTTCGAAATAGTAACATGGCCACACAGCATTTGTGTCAAGAAAGTAAGCTTCTCTTGAAGCCACTGTGTCATTACAGTGCCTCTAGCTTGACAGTGTTGCCTACCAGGTTGTTATAGTCTTAATTTAGCCTGAGATGCTATACTTGCAAAATAATAGTAGATAATTATAATAATAATAATGATATAAACAATAAAATCATTAAAAAACTTATTGAATAATTAATAATAATATATATAAATATATTTTAAAAGAATTTTAAAATTTTTTAAAAAACTCTTATGATTAATAAGAATTAAATACAATAATAATTTCTTCGACTAATGATAGTTTTCATAAGAGGTTGCTAAAGCTGGAAAATTAACAATTTTTATTTTTTAATTGAAATAATTTATTTTACGATTAAATATTATGAAAATAATAAAAAACTTAACTTCAAATCTTTTGCAAACAGTATACATAGTCAATAAATTTTGTGCTTTAAGATTTAAAGTAGTAAAAAGGTTGCCCGAGTTTTTAGCTGTATAAACATTAAAACCTATGAGCTATATCAATTGACATTTTGTTATAAATAGCTTAAGGGATTCATGAAACCAAAATATTGATATATTCTTGAATAAATTCAAGCTTTTCTTGCTCTTAGATACAACAAACAAACTGAGCTTTCAGATAATCGTTGACCCAGGTTAAACAAAGCTACAAATATATTGATATGCCAATTATGAATAATGAAGTGCAGCACTTAAAAGTTGTGTAACAAATTTTGTAGATGTGAATGTCATTAGCAATAGATAATGCTAATGTCGCTTTGGATACAAATGTTTGACTTGTCTAGATATACCTAATGGGCTTATAGTTTGTTTAATAGCCAGAGTGTGCAAACATTTCAGGTCAAATGACGTTTCCTGTTTACCCGAAGCCATTTTGGGGTTCTGTTGCCACGGAACCCTTTTTGTTTTCGGAAGTTTGGGTGGAGTTTTTGAAAAAGAATTTCCTGGTCTTATATTTCAATCATGATGAAACATTTAAATAAATGCCAATCGCAAAAAGTGTGAAGTTATTTAGACCTTTAAGACCTGTTGCCATAGTACGGGCCGCAAGGTGCAAAACGTGGGCGCACTCTACTTTCATGGCAATTTTCAATGAAAATCTTTTGAAATTGTTGCGCATTTAAATTACACTTTTATTTCTAATGAGGATGCTCAGGCGAGCTAAAAATTTGTATTTACCTAATTGCTCTTTTATTCGCGCTTAGCTCACGCACCGAAAGGGCCCTAGAAGTAGAGGCCCATTTCATTGAAAGCATTCGAGCACGAGCCGATGAGCATTTGAGTGCTGCGGGTTGGGTTAAATATCGGCTCATGACTTGAAACATTGTATTAAACGAAAGTTTTGCCTTTTTTGCTCTTTGTTTTGTATATTGCAGAGCCCTCGACGGAAATTATTGGCGCACCTGATTTGTATATAGAGAGCGGCTCGACTATAAATCTCACCTGTGTCATACTCAACTCACCTGAGCCGCCAGCCTACATCTTTTGGAATCACAACAACGCTGTAAGTGTAAGATACTTTTCTTTATATTGGGGTTCACTGGGCTTCTTTTTGTCAATTTCGTAGGCCAATTACTTTGGGGTATCATATTATTGCGCTGCTTATAAATGATGAGGGATCTGAAGCGTTGCTTCGTTTTAGTAACTTTTAAATTAGCTTTGCAATGGCAAAAACTGTTTAACTTTTCTTTTTTGCACCCCTTCTTAATATATTTTTTTTTGAATTTCTGTGTTCTATTTTGTTGACTGCGAGAAAATGCCATTTAAGCACTATGCGAAGCGAGGGACCCTAAAAACCCGTTGAGGCAAGGGTTTTAAATGGATTTTGGTTTGTCTGCCTCTCCTGCTGCTGCTGCGGCTGCTGCTTTAGCTGCTGTAGCTTCTTCTCTTAATATTGTTGTCAGTGGCATCCCAGCGGCTGTTAAAGCCACGTTTTAGTTTTCCATTTTAGGTGTTTTTCTTCATGCTTTGGGACTTTAGTCACGGCCATGTTTTAGCTTATTGTATGGGGAATACGTTAGGGCTGCTGCTGTGTACAACAGCCCTTCTATTGTTATGTATTTTCTATAGAGCATAGCGGGCTTTTAAGAAGGGTTGAGTTGGAGTTCGAGTGTAGGAATAGAACTGGACAGTGAGTGAGAGAGAGAAAGGGAGAGGGCGAGGGAGAATGAGTAGCCATTAGTAGCACTTTTACCATGAGGAGATTTAATTTTATTGTTTTGCCTTTATTCGCAGTCTTTCTTCCTTTGACAGGCATATATATATTTTTTCTTTCTTTTTTTTTTGCCTTGGCATGGCCAATAATTTTAATTTTCTAACAACAGCGCAACAGTGCGTATGCGTAATGTGGGCACAAACAGTTTTATGGCTTAGAAAATGAATGTCGCATAAAATCTAATTTGATGCGTCGACGTCCATACGGCATTGTAAATGTCATTCGCATACAAATTGTGACTGTTTTTTGCGCTTAGCACTCTCTGTTTCCTTATCAGCCTCTCTCCCTCTCTCAATCGTTCTCTGTCTCGTTCTTTATATCTTTCTCTTTTTAATGTGCGCACATAAAACCCTCAAGTACTGCCAGTTGACTGTGAAATTCTCGGATTTTCTCTTTGCAGATAATCAACTATGATTCGCCTCGGGGCGGCGTCTCAGTTGTTACCAACAAAGGTGAGACGACGACATCGTTTCTACTGATTAAATCAGCGCGTCCATCGGACTCCGGGCATTATCAATGTAATCCATCAAATGCAAAGCCCAAAAGCGTAACGGTACATGTGCTGAATGGTAAGTAAAATCAACGACAACCCAACACAGATATTCGCAAGCCAACACAAAAGATAAAGATAATATTCCACAATGAACCTGAGCGCATGCAAATCAAAAAAGCGGTAGAAAATTAAAGGCGACAATTGAATACTCTTTAAAGTAACGAACCGTGCTCATGATGATATGTTTTCAGGCAATTATTGTCTAAAAAATATTTAATTAAAAGAAAAAAAAAAATCATTAAAGAAAAATAATAATAAATAATAAATAAATAATAAAATAAATAATAAAATAATAATAATACAAATATATTACAATATATTAAATAAAATATGTATTGAATTATATTATAAAATACATTAATAATAATAATACTAATTTAATATTTACTATCAAATATTATTTAATTCATATATAAATAATTTTTAAATCGTAAAATTAATTATTATTATTTAATAGTAAAATAAAAGAATAATTTTTAAAAAAGTATATTAAAATTACACGTAGTGATATATAATATATAATATTATATATATATCTATATATATATATATAATATAATTAAAAATAATTAAAACGCTATAATTAAGAATTTTATATAAAAAACAAATATATATTTTATTTATTATTTAAAGAATGTCTTATACTAATATTTCTAATTTATATACATTTTAATTTTTGAAATTGTTTTCACAAAATTTCATTTTAATTCGAATTTAATTTACATAGTTAAAATTGTTCTTTTTCGTTCTTTAGAGCGTAGAATATAAATATATATTAATAATTAATATGCAGATTTAGAGTTTATATAACTTTATGAAAATTTTTAAAAATATTTTAATTTTATAATACTTTGCGCTTCAAACATTTCCCATAAAATTTCATTTTGGCTCGCATTTAATTGACTTAGTCAAATCTGTTTAAGGCAATTGTAGTTAATTTGTGCTGGTAGTGAGCATTAAAATGTACATAGATTATATTTATTAGATTAAGTATACGCTCTGCAGTGCTAAGCCAACATTGTGATAAAGTTTAACTACCCTGATAATAATATTTTATGGTTAAAATGGCAACGAAAAGCACAATGGACCAAGGCGAAAACTTTGGCGTGATGAATAAATGGCAAAAGAGACTGACCGACGACTGCGTTGAGGGTAGTCCCCAGCTCTGTGCAGTCCGGTTCTGGAGTGCGGAATGCACAAAGACTTACGGCAAAGTGCAAAAGTAAAGCGTGCTAATGAAGAAGACAAAAGGGGGTTTGGGAAGCGCCACGTACGCCATTGTGGTGAATGCGGGTTTATGAATGCTTTGTGGATTAAATCTGAATGCTTGAATAGCGAACTGTTTGTTGGGCATTTCAAGCGATTTTCAGTCGGTAAAAGAGCTCTAAGAATTTGTGAAAACTTCGGTTAATATTTGTGGGCGAAATGCACTCGAGTGTGAGAACAGAATTGAAATGCTTGAGCTCTTGACTTGAGCGCTAGTTTCCTAACAAAGCGAAAGAAAGAAATTATCTGGAAGTGGAATTATTTCAAAGTTGGTTTTAAGAGCTTGCAAATGCTGTATAATGAAAGCCATTGTTAAATCTAAAAGTTAATAAGTTTAATTAATGAAGTGCACCAAGCTAGTAAGGTCTTCGAGTACTACCAAAATATATGTGAGGGGCGCTTAACGGTTTTTTAAAATGGCAAATCCATCAATGAACTGTGCTCCAAAGCAGAGCGCAAACCCATAGAAATGCGGCTTCGGGTAACACAACACATTAACACTAAATAAACCAGGCCAAAACGTGTTGAGTATAAAGAGGGAGGGGAGGGGGGAACCATTAGAGTATGCTATAAGTAACTTGGTTATATAATGTTTTGAAAGCACTACGTTTGAGTACTCTAGTAGGGCATGCACGACTAGATGATAGCCTGAAATGGGTTTCTTATTTGAAATGATGTATTGGGAAGTGTATAATCAATCAGTTTATAGCTTAAAAAATTCTCAAGGTGTGCTTCAAATTATATAGATTTTTATAGATATTAGAAACTGAAATGAGATATCGAATATACTGGCATATATGTCTCAAATTTCAAAGACTTTTCTTTTGATGCAGTCAGCCAAAGATCCTTCTACCTGCTACATATTTTGGCTCATCAACACCTTACTCTCTTTGGTAAATGGGTTCACGGAAAACCCCAACAAGTGAATTTCGAACACTTCTCAGCGCAAATGTTGATTGGATAGAAGTAGAAGTCGATGTAGTCATGGTAGCTAAGGATGTTGTAATATGGTAATTGGAAGGCGCGCTGCTTCAATGGGCGTGGCTGGCACAATACTTTCGATATTCAATATTCGCTGCGTTAACTGTAAATGTGCGACAAGCAAATTAAAATTAAAATAACTGAAGAGCAGTTAAAGCAAAAACGTTATTCCGTTGCGTTCTCCGTCTCACTCTCTTTTCTTCCTTCGTGCACGCAGTTGTAATTATTATGGCGCTCTGCTAACAGTCTAACTGAACTTACAGCACTTAGCAACTCTGCTCTGCTGCTGCTCTGCTCGTCTCTTCTTTCTCTCTCTCTCTCTCACTTTTGCTGTCGTGCTGCTGCTTTGCAGGCAGAGTTTTTTTTTTATTCTTTTGTTTTACGTTTTAGTTAACGCTGCGACATTTCTCCGCATGTGAATGGCCATGGTGGGCTGCAGCAGCTGAGCGAGAGGGCGCGCGTGTGGCACATGAATATAATGTTTATGTTGCGCTTGGTCTCTGTGCCACACGCAACCCGCAGCCTTCGCCATGCTTGACTTTATGCTGCATGCCACTTCCTTTGCGACTTTCACTAATGTCAAGTTGTCGTCGTTGTTGTCGCAACGGTGTCTGCTAGATAATGCCACAGCGTTGGCACCGCAACAGCAAGCACACACACACATCTACAGTAACTAGGTGTACCCATCTCTGTTGCCATATTGTGCATGCAATGCGCGTTGTTTCCGTTAACTGCTTTGGCACACTTGTTTCTGATTATTATTATGTTTTGTCTCTTGTTCTGCTATTTTGCATTGTTGTTGCTGTCGCTGTCGCAGTCGCTGCCGCTGCCGTTGCCGCTGCTGCCGTTACATTTTGTTTTGTTGTTATTTTTATGATTATGTGCCCGTCCACATTGTATTTTGTTTTCTTTCTGTTGTTGTTATTGTTGTAGTAGTTCTGCTTTTGTCTTCACTGTACACACACACACACACGCCCACACTCACACACTTTGCGTAGGGCTCTCAATGACAGTGGCTTGTTTGCTTTTCGCTTCTTTCATTTTCATTTGTTTTGCTTCACTTTTTTGCATTACTTGGCTTTTATTGTTTATTGTTAGCTCATCCTGGCAGACACCGGGATTTGTCGCATTACTATCAACAGCATGTGGCATGGATTGTGTCGCATGCCGCGTCCATTTTGTCATTTTTTTTTTCGAAGAACTGCTATTAATATGTATAAAATAAATATAAATAACTTTTTATAAATAACAAATTAGACCAGCTCTGAGAATTAGAGAAATTCCATGGAAATCAGTGAAGCTTTACTCAGGTTCATATCTCGAGCTCATTTGGCTTTAGCTTTAGCTCTGACAGCTCAGTTATAATTAGGTTAAAGTTTTTTAAAGAGATTTTTGGCTTATTATTATGCTGAGGATAAACTTAAATAATAAATTTGTTTGTCTTTATTTTGGTATCGAAATGTGTAAAATTATCTCTTTTTTCTCTCTGATTCATATCAAAAGTTTCAGTTAACTTAAAGATGGAATGATCATTAAGTTGTAAGAAGATAACTTTAATACTGATTTTTATTTGTTTAAAATATTTTCAAAAATCTTTCAGACTAAAAAATTAGATCTCTTTTTGCTTCAGTTCAGTAATATCTTTGCATATATAACGTGAGATATATATATCACAAGTCCTTTCTCACGTCGATGCAGTTGCTGCTGTTGCACAGTTGTAAGCTTTGCCAACTGTTATAGGCTTTGAGTTTTGAGTGTCTAATATCGTTTCGAGTTTCCAGTTAAGTTGCATTTGGCACAGAACTAAGGCGGGTTTTTGTTTTGGCTACATTTATTTTGTTACCAGCTTGCATTTGAAACCTCTGTACTTGGAGAGTTGGAATTGAAGCTGTCACAAAACTTTCAACTCATGGAAATAGTTGCTGACTAATACATTCAATGTCAATCCACCGAGAATATGGGACATTATATCTCCATAATATTCTGTTTATATATAAAAAATAGATAGATACATAAAAACAAATAGTTGCTCAATTGTTTCATATATATATATATATATATATATATATATATATATATATATATATATATATATATATATATATATATATATATACATTATTTAACTATTTTCTGTTTCATCCAATCACTGAGTATAAGAGCAGCAATAAAGATGTAAATTAAACAGGTGTTTCTCATTCCGTTTCCAGGGGAGTTCCCAGCAGCAATGCAGCACGCGGCACCAGCACATCCTCCCATGTCTCCAAGTCGCTATCTCTTAGTGTACCTGTTTGTGTGCTGCTGCAGTTTGGCATTTGCCAGACGCTCTATGCGGCCCTCAGTGGTGCAGCAGCGGCAGCGGCGAGAACGTTCCAGCGACGATGTCCCACCAGAAGCACAGACAGAGGGCAAGGAATTTGGAATGCCGCACTCAAAGCGACTTTGTCGGTATGTGGAATGGGAAACATACTCGAATGTCTTTTAAGCCTCCTAACCTCGCTGCTGAGCATCACATGGCGATGGCACTGGCGGGGGCATGGCCCACACCATCACCACCAACAGCAACAAGAAAAGCAACAGCAACAGCAACAGCAACAATCAGCAACTGCAACTGCAACAGCAACAACAGCTGAAACAGCAACGTTTAGGCAAGTATATGAGGCGGACATAAGGTGAGCAACACCTGAAAATGAAAACGAAAATGCAAATGAAAATAAATATATAAATGAAAACAGAAAAACACTTCTAGACTCTAGACTAATATAAAATAAACACACACATACATATACATACACTTATCTGATAACATCTTAGCTTAACTATCTAAAATACACACACACAAACACGACTAAGTACATAAGCTGTAACTATATGATAGTAACTAATGTGTAAAATCTATTGGCTATTCTGTTTTCTATGAATCCGTGACGTATACGTAATAATTAGCACACACCCAATGAAAGTAAAGGAAGAGAAAGAAATCAGAAATATAAAACGAAAAACAGAGCCAAGTTGTCGCCTTTTCAAGTACAACTTTGTATAATATGTTAAATCGGTTCTGTTGTTTGGATTTTAGTTCGAATCGATTTTGTAAATAGGCAGCATCGCATAGTCGAAAGCGCTTGTTAAGCCAAGCTTCGTTTTGATTTGTCCTTCAAGGAGTTTCACTCGACTCGAAAGCGCTAGCTGAGCCAGGCTTCAGTTTGAATTGCCCGACTTCAAACTTTCTTGATATAAACGAAACAAATACAATTTGCTAAAACTTTCCGTAGAGACTTTTTTCACTGCTCAAAACTGCAAAACATTTCCGACAGCAATGAAAATCAAGCTAAATGTTGAAACAAGTATTTAGCGCTTATCACAATGCCATACTCTGAGACTATTCCCAAGGCAACAGCTCGAATAGGCGTAAAATTAAATGTTAAAAAAAAAGAAACTTAAAAAAAGAAAAAAAAAACTTCTAAATGTTAAACTTCAACTGCGCAGCAATTTTCAAGTACTGACTAAAGCATAAAAAAATCAACTTATAAATACATCAAGAAAAACACAAATATATAAATATAAACAAAAATATTACGAAGAATAGAAAACACTGTAAAAATGACTTCACTATGAATGCAGCAAAAGTTAAATTTAAGCTAACATTTTCTCTAGCAGAAGCGGAAAAGTAAAAGGTTAAACTTAAGCAAAGACATCAAGTCGCAAAGATAAAATATTCAAATACATGTTTTTTTTCTTGAATTGATTTTATGTGTACAAATTTGAGAAATGAATTAAACTTAAGCTTGAATGATTGGTTTGAGAGACGGCGCTGGACTGAGGACTGAGGGTAGATTCAATTTAAATGAAATCATGTTGCACATAGCAAAAAATTTATATGTTGTTAATTGATGAGAAAACAAATATATAACTATATTAAACGTAATATGGCAAAAATTATGCATAAATTAAGAAACAAGAAAATTCAAAACTTATTCAATAATTGTGCAAAAGTATGCAAAAGCAACTTTCAGTTTCAGTTCAGGTTTTGAAAACTAAAACAAAAGTGGTTTGCCGAACAAACATTCCCAAAAATTTCCATTCTAACTTTCAACAATCTTTTAAACCTCATTTAAAAACATTAATATGTATATATAAAGCATATAATAATTTTGGTACAGTTCATTTTCATTTTCAGTTTATTTAAGCTCTGATTTAATTTTAATTTGTTGTTGTTTATTTTATATTAATTTTCTTTAAAAAAGCTTGCATTTTTATTTACCTCAGCTTTCTTTTGCCTTAAGTTCGGCTTGCACTGAAAGAGATCAAAGATCAGTAAGTTAAGTTTTCTAAGATTTTAGCTATAAAAACTTGTTTTATAGTTTTTTGTATATTATATATATATATATATATATATATTATGTCTGATAACTATTCTGCTGTCGGAATATCTTACTTCTTATGGAAGCTGAAGTGTTTCTATTATTTAAAAAGAATTTTTTCATATTTAATTATTTTTTGAAAATTATTCATAAAATATATTATTTTGTGTTCTAATAGTTTTACAATTTTTGAGTTAAGACTTCATTGTCTTATCATTTTTATTATAAAAGACTTGGTTAAATAAATTTCATTTCAGCAGTTGATAATGTGTTATATAATTTTTAAAAATTAAATTGATCTTAGAAAGTAAATGATGCTATTATTTATTTGTTATTGTATTATATATTCATGAATTATTTAAAATATAATTTCGATTGAACTTAATTTTTGCTCATTTAACATTTAAATTATATTTGGAGCTAAAAGTAATCTTACAATTTGTGAATATTTAATTCAAACTATGTATTTGTATATGTTTTATCACGAATGCTTAAAAACTTGCAAATATTTAAAAACAACTTGTTAATGCATTTGCTTCCATATGCTTTGCCCACAAAAAATACTTGAATATATTAATCTATGTTTTTCAGTCAATTTTTTTTTATTTTAAAAGCTCTGTTTAATTACATACTCTACTATTTTTACAAGCCACCTTTGACATAGTAAGTACATTGATAAATAACCATGCAAACGTTTGCAACATATTTGCAATAAAAAATGAAGAAAACACACACAGAAAAAGTGGAAAAACCCAATTTAATTCAGTGTTTATATAATGGTATATGCAATAAACAATAATAAAGAGAATAATAAGCATTGAAAAAGTTTATAATGCTATCGATAGAAATAAATACAAGAAATGTACGAAAAAGGAAAAACTAAAAAAAAAAAAAAACTAAAAAAGTTTCATTAAGCATGCTTCACGGCAACAACTATTGAACCCCAACTGCGAAAGCTGCTCACAACAACTTTTTCATTAGCATTTCAACAACTATAACAACCAGTACAACAAAGCCAACAGATAAAAAAGAAATAAAAAAAAAAACAAAATACAAAATAAACTCTGCTATTGATGTATTCAACATCTACGTTGCATACAAAATGTTTCAGCATTTTTTTCCTACTTTTTCTATTTTGTATTTTTATTTATTTTCGCTTAACAATAACAAGCATATAAATTAAAAGTTTTTTGCGTTTTTTATATTTTGACAAATGAATTTTGTTGCATCAAAGCAAAATGAATATCATTTGTAATTAATAATTACATTTTTCTCTAGAGTTGATTTTCCAAAAACTGTGAGACATTTAACCATTCCAAAGCATTTTCACTAACATTTCCACCACTTACCTTAGGCGTAGCTTTAAGTGCGGCTACACGCAGTGACAAATTCTTAAAGTACGTAAGATCTAAGCTAATTCATGAGGCAACTGACGTAAATATTGTATATGTAAATGTGTATCTATAATAAATATTACTACATAAAAGGCAGAAGCTATATATATGTATACATACAGTAAAGTCTATTTATTTCAGAGAAAACAGAAAACAAAATTGAATTAACGACGTTATTAAAGCTAAACAGAATTTGAAAGTAACTTTCAATTAAATACGAGAAAACCCAGAAAAAAAGGAGAAAAAGCAAAAAAAAAATAAGATAAAAGCAAAGCAACAGAAAACTGAATCTTTTACGAATGTAAGAATTTAAAATGCAAAGAAAAACATGTAAAAGTGCAGAGGAGTAAGCGATAAATAAAAAAGCTATACAACATAACAGAAAAGAAAAGAAGAAAGAAAAACATTAACTAAAGAATATTATGTCAACTGTTAATTAACTTGTTTTAATGGCAATGGGGCAACTACAAATGGGTCATAAATTATGTGTATGTGTGTGTGTATGTGTGAAAGAGTTTGTCAGCTCGAGGAGGTAAATGCTAAGAAAACAAAAGCAAATCATTTTTCATAGCCGGACAGCCGAACAAAAGCCGCACAGCTGCGGACTGTGGGCGAGCCATAGATCTGCCGTTGACGATAAAATCGTGAAATGAGATTAATCATACGCCCCGTGGAAGCATAATGAATGCATGGCAAAGGCAATCGCTTACGTTACACACTGTTAACAACATGTTTCTATGCACTGGCAGGCTCATAATTTAAAGAGCGTTACGTAACGCGTCTTTACGGTGGTATATATATATGTATATATATGTATGTATATATTTAATAAATATTAACACATAGTTAAACACTTGAGCGCACGCTGATGGAAAATCAATAATTGTGCCAAGCGATGTGGAGCGTCGTCTGATGGACGCTGCAAAGTATGCTATATATATATATATATATTCTCTGCTATAATATATATTTTTTATTGACGAAATGTGGCGCGTCCGTGCGCCACGAACATCAACATCAATTTCAGAATCATCATGGCCTTCCACCAGCAGCTCTCTATAAACATTAACAGCCACGCGGGCGACCTGGCGACTTCATGCAAAACCACTCAAGGACAAGTGGGCAATAAGCGAGAAACTTTTATTGTTTTATGTCGAAAAGTTTTCTATATGTCTGTGTGTTGCTCGCTCTTGTTATTGTTTTGTGTCAAGTGCTACCCAACAGCAGCAACAGCAGCGGCAGCAGCAGCAGCCGCAGCAACTACATCCTGGGCATCGTCGCATAATGTGCCATATATATATTATGGCCAAAGGCCATTTAATGCGCCATCCTATATGCATGGGATCACAATCTCGCCATGCTCTGGTCATTTACCGTCCTCAAGTACTGCACGAAGTGCAATCGCTCTGCCACAGCAATGTGGGCCAGCACTGCGAATGCTGTCATAATACTGAATAATGGAATCTAGGTGTAAATGATGGCCTGCTTATGGTGTTGCTTATGCTGTTGTCTGTCCGAATTGCTATTGACTTGTGCGCTGCATGGCCTGCAGTTGTTTATAAGCTGTCGCCCTCCATTTGCCCACATCGACAGCTCAGCGCCTATCAATAATTATTGGCTATTCCGAATGGCGTTCAATCAACTTGTTTGATAATCAGGTTTGTAGTCATATTGCCAGTGATCCGATTTGAGCTCTCAAATTGAAATTAAATTTTAACAATTCGTCGAATTACGCTACAGGAGCTTAAAAGGAATTGGAATTCATTTCTTATACTTTTACGCTTTTAAGTTGCAAAAAGAGTATATTCGTTGTCAAAGAAACTGAATGAACATTTCTCTCGAAATCAGTGGCTGTCCTACTGAAATACATTAGATATATTAGATGGCAGATGTAGTCTTGAATATAATTTCGAAACCTAATGAAGAGGAGGCCAGAGGCATTGCACCAGAAGTTTCCATCTTAGCGCTGCTGCACCTATTCTAAATTCTG